GGGTTGACCCGGCAACCCGCCGGGTCAACCCGAACCCGACCCGTTTTTTAAACGGGTCGATTTCTGGAACCCGAACCCGACTCGTTTTGAAATCGGGTCGGGTTCAACCAGGATTTTCCGGGTCGGGTCCGGGTTGGGTTTTCGTGTCGTGCCAAATATTGACACCCCTATGTGTAATGCTAATATGAAAATTTTATTTGTAGATTACAATGTAAATGAGGATGATGCATAGTTAGTTTGTTTATCATATGCCAATGATTTAAGAGGTTATAAGTAAAAGAATGAGCATTATCGTGCTACCCCAATGGTGAAGCAAAAGGATGATATATTCAAGATAAATATAAGGCCTTGAAAGGAGGAGAAGGTTGTGGCGCAATACATACACAATTAATATGGGATAAAAGGTCGATAACTTAGTTATTTGTAAGACCAAGTGTTTGCCACATTCATTACATCTTTTACTTCCTAATATTGTCATAGCTGCAATATTATAACTATAATTAATGACATCTTAGAAGAAAAGGTAGAAAGTAGCCCTTTGTTGTTTAAGTGGTGGCTATTTATTTGTTTATCTGATGGTTTGCTGTTGTTTTACTATGTTTGTAATGGTCGTGAAATTTGCTGGGTGATTCTAGTGGTTTTTCCTGTTGGTTGTGGGAGAATTGCTCCTACCTTTTTCTTTTTTCTTTCTCTCTGTTTAGTGTTGTTTGCAGGTTGATGCTTTCTTTGGATTTGATTTGGATCACTTGGGTTGATCTTAATGGTTGTTCGTTGGGTCGATTGACCGTGCGTTGGGGTGCTGTTTTGATGCTGCATTGGTGACTGTGCGTCTCATTATTTATTTTGCAGTCGTACTTTGCTTTGCTTGTTTTTTATTTTTCATATATTAGGTAGGATCTAAAGCTCTCAAATGCTATTATTTAGCGAGCTTCTAATCCTCTAAGGACTTGTACTATTATCATTATTAACGCATAGGCCCAGCTGTGACTTTTATTAAAAAAAAAAACTATTATTAATGTAAAAGGGCCATTCTTTTAATTATTGGTGATATGTTTAGCATTATTATTTAAGTTGCTATCGATCTGAACACAATCAAAGAATATCAAGCTCATAATGAACTTGTTAAGTAACTTGCAAAATTCGAGCTAATTAACAAGTTAAATCATAAGAATAAATTGTTTTAATAAAATCATCATTTGCGTCTACTATATTTATAATTACCATCATAAATGCCCTCAATTTTACCTCATAAATGACAATTTATACTAAAACATGTCTCACCCTTATTGACCCCTTCACAAATTTCTGATTTTTTTTAAAAATAGGGTTGGACAAATATGCACATGCCATGCACTTTTTCACAATAATTATGTATCACATAAAAGTTATTAATTACTCCTAAATATAAAAGTATTTCTAATATAAAAATGCGGCTAGTAAAAAATACTATAGAATAACATGCCAAATGGCATGCTTTGCTTTATTTCTTCTTGCCGGCTGCTCGTATGGGCCCAACCACTCCAATCTAACAAACCGGGATTGGCAAGCTTCCTGTTCCCCGGGACAAAAGCAGGCCGCACGCGATCCACCCGACGCCGACGTTGTGTTGAGGGAGAGGAAAAGGGAGAGAAAGGAGCGATAGCGAGAAAGAGAAAGCAGGCATGTCCTTCTCCTTCTTCAAGCCCTCGCGAGGGCGATCGAGCCCGGCTGAGCTTGTGAAGGCGATGAGGGATAGTATCCTCGCCCTTGATACGAAGACTGCTGCCAAGGTTAACGCCCTTACCAATTTATAAAGTCATCGTCTTTACAGGCTCTTTGCGCATTGTTTAATAAATAATATGACGATCCCGGGCTCTTTTCTTTTGTGGAGATCTTCCCCTTACTAGAATTTGTGCGTTACTGTGAAATGGACTTCCACTTGGTTGAGAAGTAGTGAAAGGGGTTCATGGTTGCTGTAAAATTTATAATTTTTGATGACGTTCTGTTTGGAACGTATGGAACCGCATTGATATTACTTGTTTGATTTTCGTGTTTCTTATTTCCTGGCAATGATCCTATGTTCATATTTTAAATTTTTTGTTTTTCTGGCTAGTTGATCTCCTAGATAGTTAAAGCTGTTTCGTGATTTTCTTTTGGATTATAAATTGGAAATCAGCAGTATTGTGGGTTTGAGCGGCAGAAACAAACTATATTGGGCCTTCCAAAAATGAAAAAAAAAGAGAGAAGAAAAACTCATGCTTTAGGGGTAGCTTGTTAGGTTGGAATTTTGTTTTGAACTTTTAGGATTGTTCTGTGCAAGATAAGATTAAGTCAGTGAAGATTGGTATTTCTTATTAAGATATGGTGATATTGAAATTAGGATTAGAACATTCCTATTTGATATGCATAAGACTTAACCTAACTATTGGTGGTATCAACGAGTTAGTTCAACTCATTTGTCAATCATCAAATGTGGGACTATTTCCTTTTTGGTTTACTCTCTTTTGCGTTCAAACACAACTTATCTTCAAGTATTATTTTCATTGATTCTTGTCATCATTTTCTTTAAGCAGATGCTATGTATATTATGTGAAACCAAGAGGAAGCTCCATGGATTGTTATTTGTATTCTTTTGAACCTTACTCGGACATGGATTGTGCCATCCCTAGAGTTTCACAATGGATAATAGGAATCTTACTTGGCCATTGATTGTGCCATCCTTAATGATTTCCATGGTTAAATGGATTGTGTAGCAAATCATTGGCTTTTACACCATGAAGATTAAATATCATTCCTACAAAAAAGTAGTCAAACAATGGTTGGGGCTGTCCTATTGATGAGGACATCAGATTTCGACACGTGTACCATCGCCGGAGACACAGATCGACGGCTACGATCCAAAGTCTCTATTTTTGATTTATTTGCATTTCCTAGTTTACCCCTGAGGGCATTGAGTCGCTTATTTAGCCCTGAGGGCATTTATGTCATTTCAGTTGTGTTTTATTTTGGCCTACTTATATGAGGCCTCCTGCATTGTAATAGTTTAGTTTTTGATGAATGAAAAAATAGCTCATATGTTCTCTTTGTGAGTTCATGAAACCTCCAAGATCTCTTTGTGAGTTCTAGAAGAGGAGATCGTTGTAGATCTCTTTGTGAGTTCTACCGGTGGTGTGGTGCAAGGTTAGTAAATCCGGCAATTTCTATTTCTCCCGGAACCCAATTCTCTCTTCCCCCACCCAACCGACCCCTCTTCCTCCCAATTTCTCCTTGCCGTCGTCCTTACTGGGCCGGCCAGACTGCCGGCCCCTGGCAGTCACTTCCCGCCGGACTCCATCCCCTGCCCCTAGCCCAGCTCCTTGTTTTAGCTGCCGGCCCCCACTTCCCCCTCTGATTTTCAAATTTGAAATTCAAATTTGTTTCATGAGGCCTTGAATGCTTTCCTAAAATAGCTCATTGATTTAAGGCTTCAATATTAATTGGATTTAAATTTGAATGACCAATTCAAATTATTTCTAATTGCTAGCCTCAAATTTTTGGAAACTTTCCCTCTTACAATAATCTGAAAATTAATTCAGATTTTATTAAATATTTGATTAGTAATATGGGCCCCACTGACTTATGATTTCTAAATCCTTTCCCCTCTCTATGTGGCCGGCCCTTCATTGGGCTTAATCTTTCTCATATTTTATTAATTGCTCCCCAATTAAACTCCTTGATTCCTCTTAAACCGCCGGCCCCATTATGGGATTAATTTGAATTCTCAAATTAATTTCCCTCCCACCTCATCTAATGGAAATTCAAATTCAGATTTCTCATTAGTCTCTCTACTCTCCACCTAATCCACTCGTCCGCTCCCCTCTTCCTCACCACCCGAGCCCTTGTTCCCACCCGTCCCCCTTGGATCCACCTCCCCTAGGTGGCCTTTCTCCCTCCTTACACCACCTCAACGCCACGATCTCCCATGATGCATGGCGGATCCCGAAATTGATAGCGGATTGGTACTCAACGTCTACGGAGACATCCACATCACCTGTTCCCCGTTCTTCGACGTCGGGTTTGGGTCCGACGACACTGTTGAAGATTATTTGAACTGCATCCTTCCTACTCTCGTGGACGTCATAGACGATCAATTCCAGGACTACGATTGGACTATCAACGACCATTCACCCGCTTCTCCAACTCCCATTTCCTTCCCGGCAACGAGTCCTCTCGACATCACCTGTGTACTAGTGGTAACGCTAAGTTTGCTTACGATCATCTTCCGTTAGCCCCCACTATCAAGAGTGATTGAAGGACCTCCAGGTGAAAGATCTATATGTTAAACACGTGGCTTTATTAAAATAAGCTTTTAGCATCACCTGTATTTTTGGTTATTAAGTTTGCAAGTTCTCGTATCTCAATTGTAATCAATTACTGTTGCTTTGTCTCTCATGCTATTTTCTGAAACCCTACTTGAGTAAACGTGTTTTTATTGGAAGTACGCTAAGTTCAAAATATTTATTAATTCTTAAGTGCAATCTTGGCTGTCATTTTAGATTCACATCATTTCACATATAGTTTCACATCACCTGGAGGTAAACTTGAATTATGCATCATAACATTGAAAGTAATGTTCAATGATGCTACATTTAGTTAGTTCTTCACTAAAAATAATTTTGATGAAGAATCAGTTGAGGAACTTTGTTTGAGTATCCAACTTCAAAATGATTCATCAATTTTGACTTGTACTATTTATGTACCCCTTCAGGAGAAATATTAGGATATTTATGACATATGTCGTATGGCTCTAATGATATGTAAGCTGCATAATTTTCTTAGAACGATAGATAGGTGGTAAATAATGTAGATGATCATCAGAGGTTTTAAAATTCATTAGATTAACTTTTATTAAGCGGGATAAAGACTTGTTTTTATTGTAGTATCAGATCAAATTTTATTAAGTGTATTAACGACGAAGATCAAAAAAATTCTTTTATTAGAAGAAGATATTCAACAAAGGTGGATGGATGAGATATTTTTATAAATTCTTCATTGAAGATTATGAGATTATGAGAATGTGATTGACTTTAGTGAACTTAGCACCCTAAATGAAAATAAAAATTTTTTGTTTTTATCGATGTATTTGTAAAAACGAAGTTTGAGAGGCTTTAAAGAAAATGAAGTGTGGAAAAGCTGTTAGACCTGATGATATTCCAATAGAGGTGCGAAAATGCTTAGGAGATGAAGAAATTTTTTGGCTTACTAAACTTTTAAATATTATTTTGAAGACTAAAAAGATGCCAAATGAGTGGAGAATGAGTGTGTTGATTCATATTTTTAAGAATAAATATGATGCACAAGATTGTGCGAATTATAGAGGAATTAAGTTAATGTGTCATACTTTAAAACTATTGGAGAGAGTTATAAAGCGTAGGTTGTGGCGTGATACTAACATTTCTCAAAATCAATTTGGATTCATGCCGGATAGGTCTATTATGGAAGCTATACATTTATTGAGAGGTTTAATGGAGAAGTATAGAGAGAATAAGGAGGATCTGCATATGATATTTATTGATTTAGAGAAAGCATATGATAAAGTTCCAAGAGAAATGCTATGGAGAGTTCTAGAAAATAAAGGGGTTAATAATGCTTATATTCAAGTTATTAAGGATATATATGCAAGAGCTGTTACTTGTGTTCAGACTTCATACACAAGGTGGTTTGACCAAGTATTTTCCTATTTCAGTTGGATTACTCATGGATCAGCTTTAAACCCATATGTTTTTTGCTTTAGTCTTAAATGTTCTCACTAGACATTTGTAAGATGTTGTAACTTAGTGTATGCTTTTTGCTGATGATATTCTTCTTGTTGATAAAACTAGAGAGGGAGTTGAAGGTAAACTTGAATTATGGAGGTCAATCTTAGAGTCTAATGCTTTCGTTTGAGTAGATCTAAAACTGAATATATGAAGTGTAATTTTAGTAATAATAGTTTTAGTGGGGGATTATGACTTTGGGTGATCAAGTCATTAATAAGAGTATACGTTTTAGACATCTTGGGTCTATTGTTTAGAGTGATGATGAAATAGATGGGGATGTTATTAGTAGAATTCAAGTTGGAATGTTAAAGTGGAGGAATGCATCGGGCTTGTTGTGTGATAGAAAAGTATCCCTCAAACTTAAGAGAAAATTTTATAAGATGGTGGTTAGACCTACAATGGTTTATGGTGCAAAATGTTGGCCATTAAAAGAGAAGCATAATATTAAGTTAAGTGTTGTAGAGATAAGGATGATTAGGTGGATGAGTGGCTTTACTCTTAGAGACAATATATGAAATGAGGATATACGTGGAAAGGTTGGAGTAGCTCCAGTGGAAGATAAGATTAGAGAGAGTTGCCTTAGATGGTTTGGTCATATAAAACAACGTCCTTCTAATGACCCGGTTAGGAAAGTAGATGTATTAGATTTGATTTATGTTTAGAAAGGTAGAGATAAATCTAAAAAGACTTAGTTATAAAATATTATAAATGCCCTTTATTTATCAGATTTAAATGAGAATTTAACTTTTAACAAGGTATAATGGAGAAAAATGATTCATGTAGTCGACCCCACATAGTGAGATAAAGGCTTAATGTTGTTGTTGTAGTATTTCTAAGCGATGTTTGGAAATTTTGTTTGTTTGCTTTTTTTTTTTAACTTTACTATTTATTAAATAGTCTTTATTGGCATCTGTATTCATCACGTCAGGCACTTGAAGATGTTGAGAAAAATATTATTTCCATGAGACAAATGCTATCTGGTGATGGGGAAGCTGAGCCAAGTCAGGAACAGATCTCTCAAATGGCCCTTGAAATTTGCAAAGAGGATGTTCTTTCCCTTTTTGTCCAAAAGTTGCCATCATTGGGATGGGATGTAAGTTCATTGTTTGTGATTAATCTTATTCTTATAAAGTAAACCAAGCTGATTGGAACTTATGTGACAGGCCAGAAAAGATTTAGTACATTGTTGGGGCATTTTGCTACGACAAAAGGTGGATTCTACCTATTGTTGTGTGGAATATATTGAAAACCATTTAGATCTCCTGGATTTTCTTGTTGTTTGGTGAGTTATTACTGAGTAGTTATTTGTATTGTATTTCTAGTCTTCAATAGAAAATCTACTGTACTATTTTGATCTCAATTCATTGGGTAAAACTTTGATAGATTTCTGCAGTCTTATTTTTTTCCTCTTTAATATGTTGAACTTCTGCTAGTTAGTCTAAGCTGCTTAATAATCACTTTTACAAGTTCCGTCTCCTGCTAAGATCATATATTGATATGTAGGTTGTGAACAGGTTTCAGCATAGAATGCTTTCTTTAGTTAAGCACATTAGGGCCATGAAACCCTTGTATTACCTTGCTCAATTACTTTGCTGGAAATTGAATCTGAAGAAGTTGAAGCTTGTTTTGAGGACATTTGCTACACATGATAATAAACTTCTATGTTAAAATTAACCTCAGGCTCTATTTGTACATGGAATGCGGCCTGTGATGCTATTAATTCATACCTGAACTTGTTTACTAAAGTGAAACTCATAGGGGTTGTTAAAGTACTGCCATGGCTAACTTTAATTTTCAAATTAAAAAACGTTACTGGATGCTGAAATCTGGAAGGTCCCACCATTTTTTCATTATTATGGCAGTTATTACAACTGCTATGATAACATGGCTGTTCCTTAGCCATTTTCTAACCCCTAGTTACAGCCATGGTCAGCTGACTCACATCTGTAGAAGCCATGGTACTCCCATGACATCACATGAATTTCTCAAAATTTGCATCATCATGGATGATTTAAAATATGGGTAAAACTCTAAAATAGTCCCCTAATTATTAGTGAATTCCCAATTTAGTCCCAAATTTTTAAAATGCCCCAATTTAGCCCCTCGACCAAGGTTTAAAAAGGAGAAATCGGGAATCGAGTCATTTTGCCTTAGTGAGGCGAGGCATAAACCTCGAGGCGGAAGCCTAAAAAAAAAATAAAAGAACTTACAAATAATTCATAAAAATGACAAAAATAAAATAAAACATCAACATATATATTTATTTGATTCATCATTATAAAGATATAAACTACAAATCTCAATATTAAATTTTATTGTAAAATGAAAAATTGAAATGAGATTCAAAGTAAACATTTATTTAAAACTTAAATACACCATTAAGATTAGAATCCATTGGGGCCTTAATTTTACTTTCATATTCTTAATAATAGCCTATATATATATATATATATATATATAATGTTTGAACTCCACTTTGCAACTTTCTTTAAATTGCTTGTGAAGTAGAAGTTATTATCAATTTAGTAGTCATTTTAATATTAACTTTGATATTTTCATTCTTCTCATTATCAAATGCATTCCTCAACTTTCAATTTTAAATCTTTTAATATTTTTTGCTATTATCCATTCATCATTAGAAAATAGTCATTAGAAGCTAAATGTTCGGGATATATTAGTAGCAAATTTTGTATGAAGTTGAAAATTTACTAGTGTGAAGTTAAAGCGGATGGTAGGGGGAATAATGATAAATTTGATCAAAATCTCATAGTTCCATTATCCTGGGTTGTCATGAGTTCTTGTTTAATTAATCGGAGGAAGTATTCAACTCAACCTAATCAAAAGATTCTTATTATCAGCTATGTTTGCTTCATCTAAGTGAACTTATATACCTGAGATGAATATTTATCTAAGAGGATATATTTAAGTTGGCTTCAACCTATGTTGCATCGATACGGATACGGCGACATGGATACGACACGATACGGATACGGGACACGTCAATTCTTAAAAATACAGGATACGAGTACGACGCAGACACGACATTATAATTTATAAATCATACGTAAAAATTAAGAAAACAATCAAAGCATAATATTTGAAATTACAAAAAAAAAAAATGACAACAACATCATTTATAGCCTTGTATCTTATAATATCAAAATATAAGTAAGCATTAAATGTCTAGTACAACAACAAAAGCATAAACATAAATTATCTAGCACATAAAGTTTCAACTATTCAATAGAAGTAATGATATAATTATCTTCTTCATTGGTTTGTCTTTGAACTTCTATATCATCTTCAATAAATATCATAGCTTCTAATTCAGGCTCATCAAGTGAAAGATTAGTATTTTTTAATATTTTCATATAATCAAGAAACTCAAATCCATCTCGGAAATGAGAGAATCTTGCTCGCAACCGCGGAAGTAAATACAACACATCTTTTTTTTTTTCTAATTTTTTTTTGTTTTTCAACGGACACGCGTGTCCTTTTGAAATTAAATAGTGTTTTAATTGTATACGGCTTCGGCGTATCCGACACATATCGGTGGAGTATCGGAGGCGTATCTGTGTATCGGATACAGCACGCCTTCATAAATAGGTGTATCGGTGCAACATAGGCTTCAACTAACAAAAGGCTTTGTTCCTATTAAGTGCATCACATTAGTCATTTTTCATAGGTTTTTAGTCATTGAGAAATTTTCGATCTCTGATCGTGAGCATAATTTAATGATGCAATTTTGCGGTGAAATCGCTTGTTAGATAGATTACCCCAGTCAACAATCATAAATCATAACTATTTATCTGTGATGTCATTTAGTGACAGAACTACTGGTTAGAGGACAAATGTCATTCCTTACATGTGAGAGATTATTTGAGAATGAATCGTAGTGATACGCTCGACAAAATATTAGCTCTTTTTGAGTTGAAATTATTATTAAACTTGTTACCCTCGACAAATGATTATGAAGGATGGATTGATATTTGCTTTATATTGTAAGAGGTAGATTTCACTTTAAATGATTTTATATTTTTTAAAATTGGAGATTTTTGATTGTTGTCGAGATTCAAGCTTGAAGTAATTTGCTATGGGATTTGAAGCTATTTTGAAATATTTAGTCACCTCTAAGGAGATCTATAATCAATACAATCATTAGCAGGTTATTTAAATGATTTTATTATTTAAACCTTATCAACTTTGCTTGCTTGTTAGTCGAGGATCAAGTTCAAGAATTAACTTTGTGCACTACAATATGAGTGATTAACTCAAGGGTTTATATTTTTGTAATGAATTTCATACATAAAAGACATTGAAGGCTTAATATGATCATAAAGTCAAATATCTTTATGAGATTTATAATTGTATGTTCATTTGTGAGGATATAATTTATAGTGCACAATTTGAAACTTATATTTCTTTTGAAATGGATAAAATTAAATTTTTTCTTATTTTAAACCATGCAGTATTTTTAGATCTCGGATTTAGGAGTTTGACGTGTTTTGTCGAAACACATAAGAGTATTATGAACTTTTAAAAGATATTTAAAATTTAAAATTAGTTGTGAAATTTTAACATATCTACGTGCTTCTTGGGGTGAGAAATTTAAAATTCATATTTTTTTAGTTCGCACAATAATATCAAATGTTACATATATGTATTTGGCACATTTATCGGAGTATCTGTGGGCATTTTGATTTCAAAATATTTGATTTTCTTGCGCAATTTTTAGTTTTCATGGGTCATGTACTTGTATGGTTCTCAATGTACTTGCATTTGCACATTTCTCAGGACATTTTAATAGAATTTAAAAGTCTACTCAGTGGGTGCATATGATTTAAAAATACTTGGATCTTATCATTTTATGCGCCTTCACAGTACTTGTATGAATTTTGATACATTGTATTGGGATTGAAGATTGTCTGTAAAATTTGCCTAAATCCTGAAAATTATCGAATCTAAAGTTTGGCATCTGCATGCATATTTTGTTGTTAGGATACTTGCAAATTTTCCATTTTTTAATTTTTAGTGATTGCCTTTTGCCTACCTGCATGAAAATGTTGAGGATGTGGTGGGGTAGAGAGCAAATTTAGGACGAGTTGAAATCTCTGCACATTTTCTGCACCATCCTTTTTTTATGATTTAAAAATAATTATTTTAATAATTTTGATTCCACAGGGAACCATTTCTTTCCTATAAATAAGAGGTGTAGCCTAATTTATTTTCATCATTTTTTTGGGTTTATCACTTGGTTCGTTCTTATGGTTTCTCGTGAGTTTAGGGAGCAGGGCGTATGATAGTGAGGTTTTGTTTGCATTGCTAGTGAACTTTCAAGTGTTTCATATATCCTTATAGGTTCATTTAATTTTTAATTTTATGCATTCTTTTCATTCTGGGTTCACATTTATTCTTATTTGGTTTTTGACTTTAGCCACGTTTATGTCTAGAGTTTTCATGTATGTTGTCTTTTAGAGTTCATTAGCTCCAAGTTCCAGCAGCCTCCTAGCATGTGCCCCACTTAGGGTAAAGCTATTTGGAGTCTGGAGTTGCTCACCACACTAGAAAATGTGTGTATGGTCGGTATCCTATAACACCATGATTGAAATTTCAAAGCCCATTGCACCAAGGAAGGCGCACAAGGAGTACTTACATGAGAGAATTTGTAACAACATATTAACTTTCCCTCCACGTTAAAAGAAGCGTGTATAAGGCCTGCCCATTGCATCACGAGCATCCACCTATGAGTTTTCCCGTCCACACCATAGGCTCTGTTCATTTGGTCAAACATGTCATCAACATGATTTGAGGAGTTTTAGATGATTGCGCTATTATACCTGCACGCACAAAGTAAAGTCGACTGTGACAAGGTGAACAATGAGAATATATATATAAACCTCTTTTTTCTGATATAAAAAATGATGTTTATAACTTAAATAAATCATTAAAAATAATTTTTTAATTTAAAAAGATTAAGTTTGTTTAATTTGGTAAAAATTAGATGGTTATATGGATTGAACTTAATTAATCCATTGATTAATGATTACTGTTTAACTGATCAATTAATAAGTAGTTACGTGATATTATTATTATTGTTGTTGTTGTTATTGATTTATAAAAAAATTCTACAAATTGTATTTAGATTTCCTATGAGTTTAAGGCAATAAAAGGTATTAATAATAATCAAGTGGGATGTGGAAGAACCCTAAATGATAAGATGGATGTATGGTTAAATTGAGAAGAGCAGAGAAAAAATCATATTAGAGAGATGTAAATGTTAGTGCATAGTGAAAACAATATGTTATCATATAGTCAAGCTAAAGGCATACCTATAAACAGGAACCTACAACATCTAATCAACCTGCTCTTTTCATTTCCCTTCCTTGAAATCAACACATGCATGTATAGTAAGTGTGAGCATCATGAAATCTGCAATAATTTATAATGTAATGAACAAAAAGCAATATACGAACCAATTTATTTTCATATTGTAAATAGTAAAACATGTTGTAAAGAAAATTCTACAACAGAATACACAATCAGTGATGCTTTATCAAGTTTAGGATATCAATACAAACTTTTATGTTAATAAAATACATCTTAATTCAAAGTATAAGCATTATATCCTCTTACAGTTATTGCATTATAATAAAACAACAGAAATAGATAACATTTGAAGAATACCACTCAACTTTTCCTTACACTCTTAATACATCACAGTTCTCATAGATATACTTTCTCAGGTCATCCCTCCCATTTGTATTCTGTTACGCCGGCCCATCCTGGGCCGGCTGGACCGGTCCACCCTGGACCGGTCTTGGCTTACAGCCGGCGGAAGAAAGCAGCCAGGGAGGGGGCGGAAACATCAAGGGGGGCCCACTTGATGTAAATTCAATTTTGGGAGGGAATATTTGAATGAGAAGGGTAATTAGGTAAATTGTAATCCATAATACTAATCTTATTGTTAGCATTGGAATTTCTCGTTGAAACCACTCATGTACGCAAAGTAAGACTTATTTGATTAATTAATGATCTCAACCTCTCGCATGTGCTTAGACCTAAGCTATTTTATCACCTTAATGTTATCTTATCGTTTACATCAATAGAGGTTTTTGCTTAACATTGCTCTCTAAAAATTTACAAGTGCAAGCTTTCTTAAGCAAGTCATTTTCGCATGGATTGTATCACATCATGTACTCTCATTATACTATTTTGGCATTTAAAAGCTCGCTAAAATTTCCAAAATATCACATAATTAAAGTACCTTGTGAAAACTCAATATAATTATACTAATATATGCAGAATAAATAGGGCTACAATACACCAAAATTTATACAGAGATAACTTCATTTTGTAAAGTTTGGCCAAATTAAAAACAAGAAATTTGATGAAAAAATAAAATCATCAGAAATTGATGTAGGGTTACGAAAGCTTACCTCGAGTCGGGTAATTTTGTCAATTGGTCTGCATGGCAAAAATAACCCTAAGATCTCTTAGATTGGCTTTCTTTGCTCACTCTCTCTCGTTCTCTCATTCTCTTGTTATCTTCTTCTCATACCAATTGAAAGCAAAAAGAGGCATTTTGAAGTGCCTTGGATAAGCTTTAGTGCTATATATAAAAAAATTGAAATAAGGGTATATTTGTAATTTCATAGATTGTTTTGTTTTAGATGTAAAATTATTTAAATCCCTTTATATTTTGAAATCCAGTGCTATTAAAATTATGAAAAAATAAAAATTAAGTAATACATCATGTCTATAAGACTGGCAAAATTAGTTTGCAAAATAAATTCTAGCTGGTTCTTGAAGACTTGTTTATATCGACACATGTAAATTTCTTAAAGAGTTGAAATCAAAGAATCAACTTTCTATTTTCATAACTAAGATGCCTATAAAAAAATCTTCATAAAATAGAGCATTGAATTTTATATAACGCAATTAAAATAGTTTTTTTTCTAAATTGAGCATTGAATCAAAAATTTCGTATGAATACCTCAGGTTAAATTCGTTCTAATAATAATTCCAAGGAATCATCATATTACTGTTCTTTTGGCATCCTTTTGTATAAGTATATAAATATTAAAATTTTTGGAAACATAGTTGAAACGATGTCTTAGAGCAGTATGTGAATTAAACATGCATATATAAAACAAACTTAAAGCAAACTAGCATTCAAGGATATTATGAAAATTTTATTAGATAGAACTGTACCTGTGGATATATATATATATATATATAATTAGATAGAACTGTACCTGTGGATATATATATATATATATATAATCTGCTGCTTCTCTTCGACACTGATAATTGTGCTTGCTTTTGATGGTTTTGCATGGTGCTTAATCTATATATTTTTTGTACTGATTGACTCTATTGGGCGCCATTGAAATATCAAGTATTGAAGATTTAATCATAGCGCTAGATTTACAGAGTTAAATACGATTTCATTTGGTACTTTAAATTTGATGATAAAATGCTGGCCATCAAGTAGATAGTCTGTGCTCCTCGTTCTATTTTCAATTTCCTTTTGGTTTCTGCTACTTATTACAGTAAGTGCATTGCATTATGAAGCTTGGCTTACTTAACGATGTGTTTGAACAGTTATAACAACAAAGAAATTGCACTGAATTGCGGCAGCATGTTGAGGGAATGCATTAAATATCCAACGCTTGCAAAGTAAGCTTCTTGCATCCATTGTTTTACTAGTTCTTATGTTGTCACTTAATCCAGGTGATCTCGACATTATAACTTTTACGTAACAATTAAATGTTTTCGTATTATGGTAAATGTTTTCCTGAAGTGACGATCATTTCCTAAGGATTACACTTTACTCCATCTTTCAGTTTCATAAACATTTTGAAGAACTAACACTTGGTTTTTCATATAAATTTTTTCATAAACTACTTTGGTTTTCATGATGCATGGGTACAACAATGATTTTTTACACAAACCACTTCATTTTTTTGATTCATTTACGTCTAGATCTGTTTCATATGGAAAGGAAAAAATCCTTTACTGATGTGTTGTATCTTCACGTTAAGATATCAATTTTAGTCATATCCCATTTATAAGAATTGTTTTCATGTTTATGGATCTTGCTCGTTGCCGGCACAAAAGTTTCGTAGAGTGTCATGACTTTTAACTTCTTGTGAGTGCTCAACATAGAAGCCCAGATTGCTCTTTTTAGTTCTTCGTGGTTATGAGGAAAGAGATTAAATTAACTTTATTTATGAGTTCATGTGAGGGGGTGGCTGTGGGTTATGCAAACCGTTGGAGTTTCTCTTATCATCTCTTCTTCTTATCTCCATCTGTTGATGGTTCATGTTTCCTTCGTTTTTATCCCACTTTCCTCATGTCTGTCCTCCTAACTAGTAGAGTTGGATATGCATTTTCAAAGAGGAGATGAAAAGGGAAAAAAAATCCATGATATTGACAGATTCATGAAATGAATTCTTATTGGATACATTGAAGATTGAATTAACACTGTAACTTCTTTGAATTTGGATTTATAAGTGATTGCCCTAATACTCTTTATGATTACATATGGTCCTGCCTTATAGTTAATATTTTAGAGGTTCTTTTAGAAATCTTATCAGGATTTAGCTGTATTATTTTTTTATTACTTAGTTTGAATGTCACATAACTCTTATTCACATCAATAATAGAATTGTTTCATAATTAACAATTAATTACATATAAATATTCTCGTGCAAATCATGTAGTAGCAAATGATTGGGCAAACTAACTAAGTTGGTATTTAGGAAGCTCAACATGATCTATGAGTTTTTTAGGTTTATACTCTATAATAATTTCAAATAGGTTTATATATATATATATATATATGCAAACTCAGCTGCAGGCAATATCAAAGCGTAGCTAGATGCATGTTCTTAATTAGACCTCACAACTGATCACCTTGACTCATATTAATTACTATAGTTTTTTTTTTTTCATTATATTATAGGTGATAGTCATTTCAAAATTTAGTATTTTAGTTGTATCCCCTCCTTCTATAGAGTTTTTCAAAAGTAATTCATGAATTTTACATTCATATTAGACACGATGATTTTAGGTCATTCATATTGAGAAAATGATCAAATGGTCTCTTGATTATAAAAAATCAAAATAATTCTTTGTCCCTTTATTTTTTGTCAATGACTGGCCACTAATCTTTTATCAAGAAGGACATGATTAGAAATGTCTAAACTTTCATTGCCATGTTATGCATATTTTGCTTGAAATCTTTTACGACCTTTATAACAGTCGTTTGTGAGATTAATAAATAGATCTAGCTTTTCTACTGGAAGTCTTATTGTTGTTTTGATGATTGACATGCTTTCTTATGGAAAATAAGCTTTGATTTTGATTATCCGATGCATTTTGATTTGTAGTGCTCTTTCAGATATGTTCTGGAGTCAACTAGCTTTGAACTATTCTTCAAGTATGTGGAATTGCCAAACTTTGATATTGCTTCTGATGCTCTTTCTACATTCAAGGCCAGTTCCTTCTTTATTGATATCTTACTGAGATCTATTGATTAAGGGATCCTGCAAGCTACATTTTCTTTGTTGATGCATTCTGATTATAAAAAAAATATTAGCAGGACTTGCTCAGTAAACATGAGACAGAAGTATCACAATTCTTGAGTGACCACTATGAGCAGGTTGGCCAATAAATGATTTTTGTTTCTTTCCTTGATTCTGCAGATTATTTTGTCAAGTTTAAAAATGGTTGCTCTTTGTTTGGCAATTGCAAATATATATGTGTGTTCTATGTTTTGTTTTCATTATCTGATTAAGGGTTATTTTTCCAGTTCTTTGAGCTCTATGATAAACTTTTGACATCTTCAAACTATGTTACCAAAAGACAATCGTTAAAGGTTTGAAAAGTATAAAATGTAGTTTATTACCCCCCATGATATTGCCTCTTGGAATAGAAATTAACTTGTGAAATGTATTTTAGCTTCTCTCGGAATTTCTTTTGGAAGCTCCAAATTCACAAACAATGAAACGGTACATCTTAGAAGTTCGTTACTTGAAGACATTGATGGCATTGCTCAAGGTACTGTTGCCATTGTTTTTTTTTTTTTGGTTCTCTATATTCTATTTAGTTAATCTCATATGCTTAATATTTCTGAATATTTGATTAAATGTTCTCATACAACATTGAAATCAGCTTGATATAAGCATTATTACCACTTGATATAGTCATTGATGTTAAAGTGCATGGTGCATTGCTCGCTTTAGAAGAAAATCGCTTGACTCCACTTGGATGTTCTTAGTAAATGTGCGCGTTGGTTATGAATTTGAGTTTCTTTTTATTATGCCTATTTTACTCTGTGGTTAGTTTTATTTGGCTTGCTTTCTTCATTTTTTCTCTTGCTGTACCTTTGGTTTGATCTTTGGATAAATTTTTGAACTACTTACTCTTTAAAAAGAAATTAATTATATAAAAAAATTGAAGCAGTTACATTCGCCATGTGAATCGGCGACTGCCCTTACGTTGTGAAGCTAGTCACCACTTTAATAGGTGAATGGTTTTGCACATTTTATCTTGGTTTCCTTTCCCGTGCTCGCCCGTCTGTTATTCATCTCCATTTTCTTCCCTTATTTCTTTGCCAAAGTCGACGGTGCCCGAAGTCCCTTTGCCTGATTTTTTCAAGCCCAACGGTTTTTGGTTCGTTCTCCTTTGCTTCGCGGGTTGATTAGGTACACATATATATGTATATGTATATTAATTTTTTTGTGTGCAGAAATATAAATCTGTGATTTTTTTTTAAGCTGAGAAATGTAGACCTGGAAATAAATTTGTTAAAAATTGTAGACCTGGATGAAATATTAGGTGCAATAATAGTTTAAATGTTAAATCTTTTTTTTTTTTGTTTTGGAAAATTTGTGTCAGTTTTGTAGATTAAAGGTTCATGTTGCTGTTGTTGATTGTTGAGTGTTGATGTTGTTGAAGGTATTATAAATGATTTTATTCAATACTGATGGCAGATTCTATAGATTATTGTGCATTAATGTAATTATTATTTTTATGATGATTTTTGGAAAAGAAGTGTAACATTTATATCTTAATGTACTTAATAAACATGAAATATTAAATTTTTACATTCATATAGATTTGATGGATTTATAAAAGTATGAACTCGCATAAACATGAAATTTATATATTTAGTGGAGCAAGTCAACACATCTATTGATACATTGCTTTATAATGTTAATTTTATTTTAAGTTAATTAAATTAAATTTATCTGAGGTGATGTGACCTATCAAAGTTAGAGATCCTTTTTATTATTCTAATGTCTTGGCTTTGTTTGCTTGGTTTTTTGGTTTGGCTAGCCAATGTGTTTTAACAAATTTTAATGCTAGATCTATCAATTATATAGGTTGAAAATTTTTGGCAAGTTTTAATTATATTTTTAAATATATGATAGAAAGATAATATATGCATTGACTCTATTTTGACTTGGCTAAAATCATACCTCCTATTTAAAGTACTCTTTTGAATTCAAGAAATTAGTGAAGATGATGAAATATCTTTTTATGTTTATTTTGTTATTATGATTGTGATGTTAATTATGTTTTAATGTTAAGCTGTTTAAAAAAATATTTTATTATGATTAACTCCAATGTAAAATTGACTTGATTTTTGATCCAATAATAGTTTGAAGAAAATCTTATAAGTTTAAATTGCTCCTCAATTTTTATTTTTAACTAATTATCAGACACTAATTAATTTACCGTAATAAAAAAATAATATATATTCAATAGTTAAGTTTTTTATATTATGAATTTTAGATGAGTATATGCTTATCCATAGTTATAGTCTCAGTCAATTGAACTTGCATTCATTTAACTTTACACTTTCATTACAATAAGTATTTGAGATGCTTTACTTCCCTATAGTTTAGGGCTGTTAAAATGGGTTTTCGGGTTGGATTCGGGTCAAACTTGGAATTGACCCGGGTTCAAACTGGTTGACCTGAACCCGACCCAATTTTGAAAATGGTTCAAAAACTCAAACCCTGACTTAATCCGCCGAGTTACTGGGTTGACCTGATCCAACCCGCGAACCTGACATACGGTCAATGAAGTCCTGGTGCGAGCGCGAGTCTGGGTGCACCAGTACAGAGTCCGAATACGAGTGCGGGTCCTTGTCCACCTCGCTGGTGTTGCGTGTAGAGAGGTGGAGAGCGGAGTCTGGAGACTGGACGGTGGGAGGGCTCACTGGCTCAGAGTCGCATGCTGCGTAGTGGTGTTGTGTGCGAAGATGTAAATAGCAGTGCGGCCTACGTGCGGGCATTGCGGTGCGGAGTCTGGATGGAGGGAGGGCTTGCTGGTGGCCCAGCATAGCGAACGGGTTCGCTGGTGGCCTGGCGTAGCGAACTGATGCAAAGTCCGGACCGTAGGAGGACTTGCGGGATGCAAGATCTAGGGCAGAGTTTGAGCACGGGTTCATGCTGCAGAGGGCAGAGTCCAGGTGTAGAGAGTGCCTGAGTGCAAACGAGTCATTTCGGGTTGATTTTGGGTTTCTAGTTGAACCCGGACCTGACCCAATTTTATAAACGGGTCAAAATCTCGAACTTGAACCTGACACGTATTGAAAACGAGTTGATTCGAACTAGAATTTTTCAGGTCAGGTTAGGGTAGGGTTTCGTGTCGGGTCAAGTTTTGACATCCCTACTATTGTTATTGTATGAGGGTCAATTAACTATTGATATGCACTTTGCCCCAACATATCTTGGTGGGCGAACAGACCACTATAGATACCTATAAACTTGGATCAATTAAAAATATTAGTTGTTAGAGCTCTAAAGTTAGATTCAACTAAAGTTCAGGTTAAATTGGTTTGTCGGCTTCCCGTTAGAGATGCGTTCATTGCATCATACATTGATAATGATGTCTGTGAAGTTGTTATGCATCATTCTTCTACTCAATTTCTAATTATATATGTTGAGGTTGAAGAGATTAGTGCTCCTCAAATAAATGAGAATAATATCACATGTAATATGGAGAAGAACATAGCTTGCTTTGGGGTTGAACAACAGATTAATTATTTGGTTCATAAATCTATGGGAGGATCATTTATATAGTAAGTGCAACATGTGAGACATAGTTAAATTTTTTTTATTTCTTATGTTATCGGTGCACGTACATATATAAATTTAAATAATGTGTGTGGCAGGTTAACTGCAATTCATAGGCATGTGGAAAATCAAACTGAGCATTTAGAACCTTAACCTATAATTGTTGAAAGTTATGTAACAATGAGCAGTGTCACAAGTGATGGGTCCAGTGATAATTCAAATGATGCTGAATTATAATATGACAAGTTTGGGTTAGAAGGTCAGCTTGTAGTACATGAACTCATAAAGGATTATTATGCGAGGATTATAAGCACTGTCGATAGAATGATTAACATGAACAAATTAATGGGTATGTGCATGAATGCTGAATAGTGGATAATGAGTTGAATTTTGAAGATACCATGGAGATATCAATGACAACTCTTGCAGTTAAGATTCCTTATGAAATATTAGGTGGAATGTGTTATCCAAAAAAAAGTGATCTATGATCTGTTCTTATGTGGTGGTCAATAAAGAAGAATGTTGAGTTTCATGTTATTGCATCAACCTAGAAGATATATACAGTATGTTATATGGATAAATATACACAATTTACATCAATGTTTTTAGCAATTGCACGCTTGTGATAGTCGACATTGGGTGGATCATGAAAGGTATCATCTGTCAGGCATGCACAAACATTTTCAAACCCCATACTTCTAAGTGGATATAGACAATATACTTATAGATTTATCATGCATTTCATACTTCTAGTGATTTGAAGAAAGGTTGACCTTAAACTAAGAGAAATTATCACTTAGATTGAGACAAAGTTTAATATAAAGGTGTCGTACATGAAGCTTGAGATGAAAGATGAAAGTCAATAAAAGTTATTTTTTGTAGGCCGGAGGAGTCTTATCGAATGGTGAATTTATTTATGGTGGTTGTCTCAACCATGCCCAACACAATTTATAGGATACTTTGCTTAGATTTGCAGAGATTTGAGTGGATTTTCTGGGCCTTTGGGCCTTGCATATTGTAGTGGAGGTTTTGTCAGCCAATATTAAGTTTGAATGACACTTTGTTGCTTGGGACGTATCACGGTAACATGATCAACTGCAATAAAGTAACAAACAATGCATTTAACATGATCATCATCCACATATCATATGCAATGAATACAAAATAAACACATATGCCAACAAAAATGAAATTAAACTCACACAATCTAGTGCAACAATGTAAGAATACTATTAAAGGGATGATTTAAAAAAGAAATTCCAAATGATTTTGAAAATAACATTCAACCATTTTGTTACACAATTTCTGCCTTTCAACAACACTTAAAAATTAATCTAAGCTCTATTAGGACAGGTGGCGCGATTATGCCATCGATTTTTAAAAACACTACAAATGCACTTAGACCTTGAAGAGTCTTCATCTATAGTGTTTTTGTATCTCCTAGTTCTCGGTCTATCAGATCTCCTTCTATAATTGAGTGGGAGGAAGTGGGAAAAGTCCTTTAAAAGGATCATGCTCACCCTACTTCTCACCATTTAGATGTTTGTCATTAATATAAAGATGAGAGTAATACTCTAAAATTTTTAGATGAGGTGGTGGTGGTGTATATTCGGTTGGGTTACATCAAGGATCAGCCTTAAGCCCATATCTTTTTACTTTACTCATGGATGTTCTCACTAGACATTTGCAAGAGGATGTACCTTGGTGTATGCTTTTTGCTGATGATATTCTTCTTGTTGATAAGACTAGAGAGGGAGTTGAAGGTAAACTTGAATTATGGAGGTCAACCTTAGAGTCTAAAGGTTTTCGCTTGAGTAGTTCTAAAACGGAATATATGGAGTGTAATTTTAGTAGTAATAGACCTAGTGAGGGGATTGTGACTTTGGGCGATCAAGTCATTAATAAGAGTACACGTTTTAGATATCTTGGATCTATTGTTCAGAGTGATGGTGAAATAGATGGGGATATTAT